ATTAAATTCTAAATAAATTAGAGTGTTTTTGCAGTGCTATACCTTATAACTTTGATAAGTACTTATGTTGACCATGCTGTAAATACACAGTGGGATAGTCCACACAAGACCATATCTGCTAAGTATTCTTAAAGATTATCATAATACTAAGTGGTTTTATTTTTACAGTTAATATTAAGGAAATGTATTATCAGTTTGTGTGGGAACAGTGAATGATGCCACTGAAATATTCACTATATCTGTCAAAATGTACTTTCTGATTAAAAAACACTCTGAATTCTGAAGTCTTTATTAAATTGCTTCATGAATCAACTCAAATCTTTTTATTTTATTGGTATAAAGCATGCATAAAATTACAGTACATGTTGGGAATCTCCAGAGATTTAACTGAACTTCTTTGATCATTCATATAAAAGCTAAATCTTTACCAGTTAGCATTGATTGCCTCTCTAGGGACTGGAGTTAAAATCTAATTTTGCTTTAACAAATGATGAGGTAAAAATGCTAGAGAAATGGATGGCTTGTAACATATATATTTTGTAGAGATATCTGGTCTCACTTATGTGTGAATATAAACCAAGGGTGACTTTTAAGTCTTTTTATAAGATTTGAAGTTTATCCCTTTTATGTTTGTTTCATTGATTCATCTATTTCCATATTATTGCTAATGCAGATCGCTTGTATAGGGAATATAATAGGAAATACACTAAAGAACTTGAAAACAAGGGAAATAAGAATCTCTTGTGACTTAATAAAAAAAGATATAAAAGAATGAATCAGTCAGAAACATACACTGCTAGCCCGGCATGGAGGCTTATGCCTATAATAGCAGCACTTTGGGAGGTAAAGACAGGAGAATTGCTTGAACCTAGGAGTTCAAAACCAATATGGACAACATAGTGAGATCTCATCTCTACAAAAAAATTTTAAAAATTAGCCAGGCATGGTGGTGTGCACCTATAGTCCTAGCTACCCAGGAGGCTAACATGGAATGAGCAACTCAGCCTAGGAAATCCAGGCTGCTGAGTCATGTTCATGCCACTGCGTTTCAACCTGGGTGACAGAGTGTAGCCCTAACTCAAAAAAAAAAAAAAAGAAAAGAAAAGAAAAGAAGGAAGGGAGGAAAGAAGGGGGGTGGGGGGAGAGAGAGAGAAAGAGAAAGGGGAGGGGAGAGAAAGAAGAAAACTACATTGCCGCATTAAAAAATAAAACAAAGGCTTCCAAGACAAGACTGAGCTGTCAGAAGTATAAACACAATTTGTAAAGAGTGTCTCAAACAGTGGTAGTGGAGACTTAGCCAATGGAATTGAGTATTAGGTCATATATTGAGGAAGATAGCCACAAGTTCGCTTCTGAGGAATGCTTTTTAAGATATGTTTGTCTTGAGCAAAGCAAAAGCTCTACTGCCAAAACACATTTGAATATCCTTTGGCTCCAGATTTTCTTACAAGAAGATAGAATCGTTACAACTAACATAGCCACAAGCATTCTGGCTCCTGTGACAGCTGCTGGTCTTGTTCTCATAGGAATCAATTAGCATTGGACTTTAGACAAACATCTCAGTGAAATACTTTATGTGACTCAGCTTCTGAGAGATCAATCTATGAATACAGAGTCTGCAGAACTATAGGCCAGCCCTGGCTCCCAGCCAGTTCACCAAGGCACTGTGCCTTTGTGACATTTCTTGGCAGCCAGCCAGTCAGCTTTCCCTGGGGTCTACAATCGCACTGCATGCTCTCCATTTAAACTTCTTCAGTAAGTAATAAAAATCTTCAAAACACTTCAGAGGATTTTTTTACCCTTCATTCAGAGACAATAGGCTGAGAAAGAAGTCAGTGAGGTAGAGTAGCCCACAAGAAATTAAGCCAGGTGGAAGAAAAAACTGTAGCAGACTTTAGAAATGAGTGAGGAGGGACTATCAGAAGATGGGAGGGGATATGCGAGAAGCTGGGGCCAGAGAAGAAAAATAATAGGCTTCACAAAGAGTAGATATATTTGCTGCTTTAATATTAAGCAGAATTTTACTTTACATTTACAAGAAAATGACTTTCCAGGCCTTTAGTAATAATAGCAGTTGATTTCACAATTATTTTGTAAGGCACATATTTTTCTCTATTTTTACACATGAACAAATGGACATTCAGAGAGGCAAAGTAACTTGCCATCATCACATGAGTTAATAACTATTCAGCGATGGGGCCAAGTTTTACACCCAAACCCAGGGCATTAATCATTATGTCTCCCCTCCATATGTATTATCAACCAACCATACTTACATGATTTATTCATTTGTTTACTGAATATTCATTGAATGAAACCTAAATGCTAAACACGTGACTAGACATTGGGAAACAATGGTGTGCTTGAACATGAAGAATAGAGTTTAGTTTGGGAGTTAAACATTAATGAAATAATTATATTCATTTCATATTATGAGAGTGCGAAGTGCTGGAAAGATAGGTCGAGGGAAGCCTAACTGATTATAATTTTTGACTTTACTGGATCAGTGAACTTTGGAAGGATTCTTTAAGAAATAACACTTGAGCTAAGACTTGAAAGAGAAAGACGGATGAGTTGGATGAAGTGGGAATGAAAATAATCAAGTGCTAAGACCTCGTTTAGGCAGGATGCTATGGGGAGGGGGCCAAAGGCTGTCATGCCACAGTGGAGAGGATAAAGCATAGACTTGTGCAAGATAATGTTGAACAGTAGACAGGGTCTCAACCATGCAAGGCCTTGGGGGCTCCGTAAGCATTTCACCCAAGGATTCCATGAATGAGGATGAGGTTTGTTGACAAAAGATTGTGAGTTCGATTCTGTACATAATGGGTTTGACGTAGTTTTGTGACAACCTAGAAAAAATGTCAGACAGTCATCATACGCATCTGAAATTCAGAAGAAAGTGCTGGGTTACAGTTAGAATTTTGGAATTCATGTATGGATAGCTAATAATTATTAATACCATTAATATGATAGAGAGATCATAAAATGAAAACTGGAGGAAGGACAGGATATTCCTTTGGGGAACTCCAGAATTTTGCTCTTTGTATTTCCCCCGCCCCTTTTCATTTCTACCACCCAGAACCATAATATTCAATGGTTGTGTAAAGGAAAACAAAAGAGGAAAAAAAATACAATCCACAGAAAAATTAGAAACAAACTGGAGAATTTTTGTCATTAAAGCCAAAGTAGGAGAGTGTCATGAAGAGAGGAGCAATCTGCTATTCTAAATGCTGCCAAAATATTAAACAAGATGAAGACTGAAATGTCTTTTGCATTTAACAGCTTTGAGGTCTTTGCTGGCCTTAATGGTATATCCTGTCACTTGAATAGTATATCCTCTTTCTTAATTTTATGTTCCTTATAGTTGGTTTTAATTTAAAATAAAATAGGAATCATCTGCCAGAAATTATTGCAGGCCACGGCACAGCTCTCTATAGGAGTTCTTGTATAGTTTTGTCTTTCTTTTATGTATTAATTCACATATTTGACATATACTTCTATACATGCAGCATATAGTTTTCCATAATATCTTAAAATTTTAAAAAAATTTTCAGAGTTTCTAGATCTGTCAGTTAAATATCAACTATTTCTGATATCAATTATCAAACTTTATGTTTTCTCTAAACTAGGATTTAGGCTAAGTGCAGTGACTCATGCCTGAAATCCCAGCACTTTGGAGGCTGAGGTGGGAGGAGCATTTGAGGCCAGGAGTTTGAGAGCCACCTGGACAACATAGTGAGACCCATTTCTACAAAAATTTAAAAATTAGCTAGGTGGGGTGGTTAGTGCCTGTAGTCCAACTGCTCGGGAGGCTGAGGCGGGAAGAGTTTGTGAGCCCAGGAGTCTGAGGTTACAGTGTGCTACAGTCATACCCCTACACTGCAGCTTGAGTGACAGAGCAAGACTCTATCTCTAAAAAAAGTACATACATAATATAAACTAGTATTTAGAATAAAAGCAAAATATTAACTAATCATTGATTCAATAAATATTGAATTTTCATTCACATATTAATACCCACTATAGATGTTCTTCAATTAGTAAATAGTCAGAGATCACTTGCTGTGATCTATACCCATACTCGAAATGGAACTCCAAGTAAGGCAAATGAGCTGTCTGCAAAGAATACAGTCCAGTGTGCAATACTATGCTGACTTGCCTCCTCCTATGTCTTAGTAGTTCATGCTGTGAGTTTTTAAAATAGATGATAGTTTGGATCAAATGTACATTTGTTTTGAGGCTCCACAAGAAAGGAAGTGTATAATGTTTACCTGTGCATAAAAGAAAGAAAAATGCATGAAGTAAGATTACAATATCAAAAGTATACAGTTCCTTTGTTGAGTTCTTTCCATTTTATTAGACCTACTCTTTACAAGCTAACCACACACACAAAGAAATACTCATGTTCATACACAGACAATAAAATACACAGACATAAAACATATAAAATAAAAGGTAGTTGCAAGAATGAGAATTTGTTTCTCATTGGCTTACTTTTCCTGAAGTCTTTGGTAGTTATCATACGACATCTATTGCCTGGAACCAATTTATTGTTTAATTTATTTTATTTATTATTACTTTGTATTTTAGAATATACTTTGTGAGATTTTCATGAAAAAAATAGAATTTTGCATATGTTTCAGTGATTTTATTATTCTCACAAGAACATGATTTGACCAGATTTTCTCTAAAATAGCAAGAAGTTGAATCTTTTCAAATCGTTTGTCCTAAAATACAATCAACTGTTGGTAGTTACAAGTTTTTAAATGGATAAAAGTCTAAAATATCTGATTTAATCTCTCCCACTTGGATTTATATGAAAAGTAACAAAATTCTCTTAGACAGTCTTGGAGCATTCCAGTGATAAACAAATGCTTACTTACCTTGATGGAAAAACCTTTGATACATTGATTTTTCTTGTATTGTGGAATTTCCACTTTGATGAGTCACTGGTGATTACAATTGCTAGTTATTTCTATGTTCTTGGCTAATTTCAGAGCACATTCAGAAAATGAAGGTACCTCTTTACCATCTGCTGACTCCTGTACTAGTCCTACAAAGATGGATTCATCATATAGTAAGACTGCTAAGCAGTGCCTAGAGGAGATATCTGGTAAGTGACCTGATTGATTGGTAGGTCAAACCTCAGACTTTTGTCATCTCTCTGCAAGTCTTTTTTATGATATCTTGATTATGCTACATGGTTTTTTATGCAAAACTGAACTGTATACATGTCATGCTTCAGAGATTCTTAGATATTTGGCTATTCTGCTTGGGATGATCTCTTTGTTATTCTGAAAAGAATGGTAATGCCTTCAGAAGCTGGACTGTAAGTCATTTTGCCCTCAGTCAAGTTGAATGCAATCAAAGGACACCTGGAGAATCTTCTGTTGTTAATAAGACATACCTTAGATATATTTAAAGATTGAAGATATACTAAAGATTGACAGCGTAAATTTTCCATGGCTAATCCAACCCTGCTCTGTCTTCAGTTTTGCACTATTTGGAACATTTCTATGTGGCGGCTACAAATGTGCATTCTGGGATAAAATTTGATTTGGAAATGTTTTAATGTATATAGGTGATATAAAAAATATATACATAACCCAGACACAGTTCAATAGCTTTTTAAAACAGGGTTCTCAGTTTAAGCACAATGTTTTTTTTCTAGGATCTAGGCAAGCCTAAGCATATGTGGAAGGCCTTTTGTGTAATTTCGTTATGTATAGATCTATATTCATGAAAAGTCAAGTAACCTCTTGGAAAAATATACTACTCCTAAGGAGAGAGGAAGTTTAAGAAGATTTTATCTGTTTCTGAGTATAATAATACATGAAGAAAGTAGAAGTATGTCTGTTATTCCAATAAATCTCTGGCTTAGTCTTGTATGTTCATAGCTAAGTTCAGAGAAAAAAAAAACCTAATGGAACGATTTAATTTAAAAAAAAATACTCCACTCTGAAGCTCATGAAAAGCAACCATGTTACAAATTTGGGTTTTAAGACATTTCCTAACCTTGGCAAACCTGAAACACATTTTGGCAAGCATGGGACATTACTGCAATATTCTCCAATGGATACTGGCAGCAGTGACAAGAACAACCTCACAAGGGTACCATTCGGAATTAATTTCAGTAATATCAGTAGGCATCAGAGGTTTCATGTGGAGATTATAACAAAGGGTCAATGCAAGGGAGAAGTAGACATGGTAATGCTAAGACATTGATGTGGAGGTGGTAACTGTAGACTTTCCAAATACTTGGGGAAGTACTGGGTTTCTCTTAGCTCTAGGCTGTACCATGGTCAGAATGATGTTGTGTATCTGTTGTGACTAGATGCTTTATATTCCTAGCATATCATAAAGATGTATATACATCACATATTTCTTTTTATAAATGAATGTCTTCAAAATGCCTATAAAGTACCTGTGCTCAAATCTATAAGATAAATTATTTTAGTAGAATTTTATTATAATTTTCACAAGAATTTTACAAATCAACATTGTTTTCTGAAATTAATGTATCACTGAGTATCTCCTATTGAATAAATAATTCATATTTGATTTTTTTCTCCACTTTCTTTTTCTGTCTGCCATTTGATCATTTTTGTATTTTCAGTTAATTTTTCCGTTTCATCTTCTGATTTTTAATGGAACACTTGAGAGTGAAATATAAACTAGACTTTAATATAATATAATAATTTAATAGATTTATTACAAAGAATATTATTATTTTGCAGCAATAATGAATTGTTCACATAGAATCCTAGACTGAGTCTATGATTTATATAGAAACATAATTTAAAAAAATAAAACAGTTAATAAATGGTATACTGAGACTTATCTAACTGTGTCATTCTTACTATTATCTGTTAAAAATTGACGTATAGTGGGATAGTGAAAATGTCTTTCAATGCAAACAAGATTTTGTGGAAGAAGGATGATATTTATTTATGGTTAGTAAGTTATAAATTGAGTACTATAACCAAAAAAAACCTAGATAGCGATATACCAGTAGGCCAATGATGAAAAGATGACTATCACAAAGAAATGAGATGCATTTCTTTGTCATTTTAGAATCTTGGCTTCTGAATCACTATCACTCTATTACAATTTCTGCCTTAATTTTTGGCGATTTAAGTATTTACACAGATGATCCTTCCAACACTTGGCTTCTCTTCAAATGGCCTTGTTTTGTAATCCCTCCTGAGCTACTTATTCTCATGGTCATACCCTACCTAGATGTGGGCATCATCAGAAACTCCAACCGCTCTATGACCTCACTTGCATGCACCCTACTTTTGCTGATTATAGCCTCTTATCTTGATAGTATTCTTCCTTATGTGTCCCGTCTCCACCAGTGGTTCAACTAAGATTTCCAATTTGCTGATCCTACCACTTTTTACTGTTCTTCACCAAACTCTGTATGATATTTCTTCTCTTTTTAAGCAGCAAAATTCCTGTAATAACTGATTGTAATTTTACTCGTGTATATACCTTTAGCTTTCTTGCTTCTCTTTCATTTCACTTCATTGTACTCTCCTGATATGATCACAGAACTAGTTACATTGAACTCTCCTCATGTACCATACCAACAATGAATGAACCAGAAGAAAAACACATCACATGTTGATGTGACTCACTTTACATTAATGACCACCAGTCTCAAGTGAATATTTAACACTAGTCATAGTCATTCCATATTTCTCTTTTCTGCTTACTTTCTTTTTTTTTTTTTTTTTTTTTTTTGAGTTGGAGTCTCACTCTGTCGCCCAGCCTGGAGTGCAGTGGCCGCTCCTGGCCACCGCAGTCTCAACCTGCTGTGCTCCGGTGATCCTTCCGCCTCAGCCTTCCTAGTAGCCAGAACTACAAGCATGCACTACCACGCCCGGCTGATTTTTTGATTTTATTGTAGAGATGAGGTCTCGCTGCCCATGCGGGTCTTGAACCCGTGGGCTCAGGCAATCCACTCACCTCAGCCTCCCAAAGGCACAGGATTACAGGCTGAGCCACTGAGCCCGGCTGCTTACTTTCTTAAATTCTTAGATTCTTAAATTCTCATTCTTTAAATCTTTTATTTTCAAGTATACAATACCACCTGTCTTATCCTTTTTCTTAATTGATGATCTTTATGTGTACTTCACTGAAAAAAATAGAGCACACAGAAAGGAAGTTCACAAACCCCGTCTTCATATCTACCGAAGTATAGTACTTATACCAATTTAATACCTGTTTACTCTGCTTTTACTTGGATTAGATTCTCTTCTACTGTTTAATATCCCTCCCCTTAATCACATCATTCTCTTTGGCCTGTAGTGTGCTATCATCTTTCCAACCTTAATTAAAAAAAGATTCTCTTGACCCCAAGTTTGCCCTCCAACTACCATCATTTATCTCTTTCTTTTTATGCCATATGCTGATAAAGAGTAGCCGTCAATCACAGTCTCTTAGGCTTTTAGCCCCATTTCTCCCTTGAAACTGCTCTTGCTAAAGTTACCATTAAAAGTTACATAACGAAACCCAAAGATCAAACCTTAGTCCTCATCTTATTTCCCCTCTCAGCAGCCATTTATCCTCCTCTAAAAAGTTTCTTCCTTGGTGCTATAATTTGGATATGTTTTGTTTGGCCCTACCTAGTCTTATGTTGAAATTTGGTTCCCAGTGTTGGAGGCAGGGCTTGGTAGGAGGTGTTTGGGTAATGCGGATGATTATCTTATGAATGGCTTGATGCCATTCTTATGGTAGTAAATGAGTTCTCCCTCTTAGTTCCCATGCAAACTAGTTGTTGAAAAGAGCCTGACACCTATTCTTTGTTTGCCTTACTTTTTTTTAAAGCAGGATTATTGAGAGGACAGAAAAGATCCCACAGTGGTTAGGGACCGGAGGGGTTGCCCTGTTTTATTTCTGCTCTCACCATGTGTTTTCTGCGTGCCAGCTCCTCTTTGCCTTCCAGCATGAATGGAAGCAGCCTGAAGCCCTCACTAGATGCACATATAGGTGCCATACTTCTTTCACAGCCTGTAGAACAGGGAGCCAAATAAACCTCTTTTCTTTATCGATTACCCAGTCTCAAGTATTTTTATAGCAACACAAATGGACTATGATACTTGGTTTCCAGGGTACCATCTTTTCTTTATTTTCTTTAATCCTCACTGTTTATTTCTTCCTGGTCTCCATTTCTAGTTCTATGTTTTCTTCATGATTTCTTTTTTTTTAGTTGGAGTCTCACTCGGTCGCCCAGACTGGAGTGCAGTGGCCGCTCCTGGCCACCGCAGCCTCCACCTGCTGGGCTCTAGTGATCCTTCTGCCTCAGCCTTCCAAGTAGTCGGAATTACAGGCATGCGCTACCACACCCGGCTGATTTTTTGATTTATTGTAGAGATGAGGTCTCGCTGCCCAGGCGGGTCTCGAACCCATGGGCTAAGGCATTCCACTCACCTCAGCCTCCCAAAGGCGCGGGATTACAGGCTGAGCCACCGAGTCCAGCTTCTTCATGATTTCTGTTGACTGAAATGACCCAGGTCTCTTTCCCTACACTTCTCTACCTATAAGTGCTCCCTTGGTGATTTAATACTATCTCATGGCTTTAATTTTATATACTGATACTTTAATTTTATATACTGATGTCTCTCCCTGCTCTAGTTCTCTTGGCTTCACACTGGATTCAAATATACAACTGCATACACAGCATCTCTACTTGAATGTCTTGTAGACACTTTTAACCTATTATGTCCCAAAGTGGACCCCTGCTATTGCCCTCAAAATTATACTCTTCAAAACCATATTATCCATGTCTCCATCAGAGCTGAATGACAATGCCATCTTTCCAGTTGCCCTATGCTAAAATCTTAGAATTATATATAACTCATTCTTTTTTTTTTTTGAGTTGAAGTCTCACTCTGTCGCCCAGATGCAGTGCAGTGGTCGCTCCTGGCCACCGCAGCCTCGACTTCTGGGCTCCGGCAATCCTTACACCTCAGCCTTCCAAGTAACTGGAACTACAGGCATGCGCTACCACGCCCGGCTAATTTTTGATTTATTGTAGAAATGAAGTCTCGCCAAGTTGCCCAGGTGGGTCTCGAACCCGTGGCCTCAGGCAATCCACTCATCTCAGCCTCCTAAAG